CTGTAACCAAAGTCAGCAGGGGTTAGTTACATAATAACACTGTTTCCTAATGCTTTAAAAATCATTTTAGCACTTCTTCTCAATAAGGTCAACTACTGGGATATATTTTAAACTTTCTAGCATCACCCACTGAAGAGTTAAGTTACAAGCATAGCATAAGTCAAAGCTGAAGATTAAAATCTATTCTCTCTGTTTTAACATTTATGTAAGTTATGTATATGAGAACACTTCAAAGATTATATTTCAACGACTATAAAACTCAACAGCTACAAGCTTTTAAATGTTATAGAAAGTTTTATAACAAATGATTTATTATATTCTTGACACGCTAACACACAAATTGGAAAACATAGTACAGTGACTTTCAATGATATAGGAGGTGGAGGAGAAGATATTTTATAATATCATAAACACAAAAATAGATGGCCAAACATCCTATCTTCTAGTAAGAGATACAAGATAACTATAGTGACATTTATTTAGAAACTAGAGGGCCGGTGCATGAAATTTGTTCATGGAGGCAGGGGGTGTGCCCTTCAGCCCAGTCTGAACCCTCTCCAATCTGGGACATCCCTCTCACAATCCAGGACTACTGGCTGCCAACTACTTGCCTTCCTGCCTGCCTGATTGCCCGTAACCGCTTCTGCCTGCCAGCCTGATCATCTCCTAACCACTCCCCTGCCAGCCTGATTGACACCTAACTGCTCCCCTGCAGGCCTAGTCACTCCTAACTGTCCTCCCCTGCAGGTCTGGATCCCCCCCAACAATGCTCCCCTGCATGCCTGGTTCCCCTCCCAAAATTGCTTCCCCCTGCTGGCCCAGTCACCCCTAACTGCCTTCCCCTACAGGACTGATCACCCACAACTGCCCTCCCCTTCTGGCCATCTTGGGGCAGCCATCTTGTGTCCACATGGGGGCAGCTATCTTTGACCACTTGGGGGTGGTCATCTTGTATGTTGAAGTGATAGTCAATTTGCTTATTATCTCTTTATTATATACAATAGCAAAGATATTTCTTATTATACTAGTAAGGCTACTGGATTTTGTGTCCCAACATGTTTTTCTTTCTTTGAATGAGATACAAAGCAGACAATTTTTGAACTAAGAGAATAAGCTCTCTGATCTCTTAAGGATACTAATTCCATCATGAGGACCCTATCCTCATAATAACATCTAAACCTAATTATGTCCTAAAAACCCCACCTCAAAATATCATCACAATGATGTTTTTGACTTCAACATATAAATTTGATAGGGAGAGGAGGTTGAATGAACACAATTCAGTCCATAGCAGTATGCATTAGATTCACAGATGGCTGGCCCCACCTCCGGGGTTTCTGATTCAGTAGGTCTTGAGTGGGACAAGTTCCCAGCTGATGCTGATGTTGTTATTCCTGAGACTTTGAGAGCCACTAACCTACAAGATCACATTATATATTTAAATGAGGAGACATGATAATCAGATACACCTGCTGATGCTTTTATAGAATTCTTTAGAATGTATTATATATTTATTCCAAACAGAATAGCTGCATTCCCCCCCCCCCCCCGCCAAAATTCCGTATGCTTGTGGGATTTTGAAGTGGAATAAGTCCTTTAATGAATTTTCTATGGCTACATATGTTTGGAATGTCTATGCCTATCTGTCAGCTAAATACTTTCAATTATAAATCAATTACAGAACTGTGACCATATTTTGTCAATCCTTGATCACCTATGCATGGATACAGAGAAAAGGGGCAGACCAACAGGCTCTTTCAACTACTCTGCTTGGCTCATGGAGAAAAGTCCATTTTGTCATTCTGAACATCCACAATCAGCATTTTCTCTGTCAAACTGCAGGTCAGAATTTTCTCTGAATTTAGCCAGCTCATTATATGGATGTGAATAATGGCTATGGTTTCTTTGCTATCAAGCTAACATATTTAGTCAGACAGATTTTTCTCCATTGGGGAATATTTACCTTGTACCTAAAGAATGCTTGTTTGTGTTTTTTGGGTAGCTGTCTTATTTCTTCTCTTAACTTTATCAATGTAGACTCTCTCCAGATTCAAATCAGGTAAACACAGATAAACATTGACCATGTGTCCCTCTAATAACTCTTTTGTATTAGTCATTACTTTGTAATTGGCTAAAAACAGAAGCACAAACCAAGATGGAAATGATGATGTAGGTAGGAACCACAGGATTTTCTATGATCCTAGGGGTAAGGATATGTGTAGGCATCTAGAACAGCTGGACTAACTCAACTCTGCTTAGTAATCTATCTCCAAGCTTCACACAAAAGCCTCTCCATAAACTACTGCATTCTTTTCTTTTGTTGAAATATAGATATCTGTTTTCCAATTTGCATGATAAAACATGTGTCTTAATAATGCCCGGGTTTCTATTTTATAGTCTCCTTCTCAGTGACAGGTCTAAATATCCAGGGAACTCCTCCTTTGATTTCATTTGAGTTAGATTGTCCATCTATGGTCTTAATAGCTTGGGCCAAAGACAGTGTCACTTGCATTTACATGGTATTTCTGGAGTGAGGGTCAGAGGCATTTCCTAGTAGAAGAGTTTTGAGCAAAGACAATAGCTCATTCCAAAAAAGTCATTTTAATAATCTTTGTGTATTTATGCAATATTAATTATACTACATGGTTAGCTCTATGTTCTTTTTCATATCTGTGACTGTAGATATGAAAAATAAATTAAAATCTAGGAGACAGGTTATTGGACACTGGTTCTGCCTCTGACACTGTTTGTTTATGGGCCTAATTGGGACATTTAACCTAACAGCTGCTTAAAAGGGAAAATGATATTTGCTCTTAAATGTATCTTCACATAACTTTTCTGTACCAGGCATTTAAATGGGTTCCTGGAAAAATTTGAATAATATATGAATCCTGCCTTCAAGATTCATGTATTTTTCAGATCACTATGAAAGTTAGAATAGTGCATTCTTTAAAATGGTATACAAGTACAAAGTTTTTATTTTTACAAGTTTTGAAAATTTTGAGGTTATCGGTTTCTGTTGAAAGCATTGGAATAAATATGTTATATGTGATATTAATCACCTTACTCATTAATGTTTCTTTTTATTTGACCTTTGTTACTTAAAAGCATGATTACCTATTATTCTGAGGAAAGTCTGCTATACCAGTGAAGAATAAATTATGGCCTATGGCCAATTTCAGCCTGTTGTCTGTTGTACCAATGAAGTTTTATTGGAATGCAGCCACACCCATTTGTATGTTGTTTAGGACTCCTTTCAGGCTAAAACAGCAGGTAGAATAGCTGTGACAGAGACCTTCTGCTTATTTGCTATCTTGCCCTTTATAAAAAAAGTTAAAAACACAATAGACAAGGATTTCAGTAGGGCTAAGCCTGCCAAGTGATCTTTGAAATAACCAAGGTCATAATTCATCTCTGCTTTCCTCTCTATTCGAACCCTTTGAGAACCTCTACACCCCTCACTCCTGCTTTTTATTTTATTTTATAATATAACTAGAGGCTCGGTGCACAAAATTCAAACAGTGGTAAGGTCCTTAGGCCTGGCCAGCGATCAGAGTCATTTGAGGCCTTCCGACTGCTAACTGGGACCTCCCTTCCCTGGCTGCCATGGGGATAATTTGCATATTCGGCTTTTATATATAGATTCAATTTGCCCAAATAAGCCTTACACTCCTTAATTTCTGGAGCTTGGTCCTTTTCTGAAATGTTTCTTCTATTCCCCCTCACCACCTCCTTGCACCTTTCCCTCCCCCACACACAAATCTCCCATTTCTTTATCCTCAATTCTCTCTCCCCCACTCCCTCAGTTTGTACAGGATTCCCACTTCTAACTCCCACAGCAAGTTGACCTATCAAAACACTGTCAAATAGTTTATTTTCTTCACTAGACAGAAATCCTTATTGTTATCTTTTTAGCACTTGACAAAGTCTATATTTTCACTTAGTAGTTACTTGATAAAGAGTTATGATATGAATGAATGAATAAATGAATGAATGGTGAGCTCTTCTTGATATGAAAATTGCATTAACTGAATGAATTAAATTGGTAAGTGCTTAAAATATCAAACAATAGAAATAATAAAATTTAGTATTTTACAAGTCTCTAGAGAGAATATAGTCTCTATATGTAGAAGCAGTAAGGGAAATTGTGAAGGAAAAGATTGATTTAACTGAATTAATCGTGAGTATTTTTATGGAGAAAAACGACATAGCTGTCTACTGAAAGTCCCCAAGGCAGCAGGGTCTGGTGGGAAGGTCTGATCAAAAGTCTTACATATTCCAAAACCTGATTTTGTAGGGTTAGAGAATTTATCTCTTAGTGGCAGACTAATGTTAAACAGAATCTTGAGACTAAATGTCAATTCAATTTACAAGGAGAAATGTGATTGCCTCAAAAACCGAAATATTTGTATCTGCTTGACAAGGCCATTTTCTCCCCATGGGCAATCTTTATAGGAAGTCAAATTATAATAAGTGAATTCTTTATTTAATTAATTTATTAATTTACAATGAGACATAGCAATGAGATTTTGCCTCTGGGACTAGACAGCAAGCTCTTTGGTTAACACATTTTTCTTTATATATGTTAATACATTCAGTCAGGTGAATTGATTTGACATTTATCTCTGCTATGATTCATTGTAATTTAACTTTTTAAAGGCAATCTTACTGCCGGAACCGGTTTGGCTCAGTGGATAGAGCGTCGGCCTGTGGACTGAAAAGTCCCGGGTTCGATTCTGGTCAAGGGCATGTACCTTGGCTGCGGGCACATCCCCAGTAGGGGGTGTGCAAGAGGCAGCTGATCGGTGATTCTCTCTCATCGATGTTTCCAACTCTCTAACCCTCTCTCTTCCTCTCTGTAAAAAATCAATAAAAATATATTTTAAAAAATGTTTTAAAAAAAATAAAGGCAATCTTACTATTCCTACTTCCTAGTTCTGGAGGGAAGAATGTAGTACTATAATTTCTAAAGTGTGTATATAAAATAAAAACAATATGAA